TTAATTTTAATTTAATAGAACTAATAATTAAAAAATAAACACAAGTAAAAAAATGAGTAATAATTCCCAACTAGATTCGATTCATGATCCGATTCAATATTTTGCTTGTTCAGATTTGTCTATGTCATAATTTTAGAATTTGAACTAAGTTTGTCGTCGTATAAATTATATTGTTGATATTGATCTTAAAAAATAAACCGATGATATTAAAAAATGGCATCAGTCATAAATTAAATGTTATTTAGGTAATTGATTTGTAAAAGAGCCAACAGACGAGATCTGTCTCCCGACCTTATGGCTACACATCCTCAAAAAAAAAAAAAAGCAAAATACATCCTCAATTAAAAAGAATCTAGGTCGCCCACAAACGACCTAGGTATAGGTGTCCAAGTCATCCACGCAGCATCACAAGGAGAATGAACATCTCTAGCTCGAGACATGTGTTTGGATTGAGCTCTTTTACTTACGAGCTAGCTAAAAGAACACGAGGTTATCCCAAAACAGAATAACCACGTAGCTGACTCTTCTAATGATATGGAGGACCGCAATTTATCAAAGCTTAAAGGTAGGTCACAAGACCGTCTTAACATGTTTTAGAAGGTCACGTTACATTTAAGGAATGTAGTCTTTAACAACCCAATATTCTCTCAATAAAATTCTAACAAACTTAAGAAATATGTGATGATCACCAAGGGACCACCTCACCTAGGGGTATAAATACAAAGACCTTCTCCATGTAAAGACATCTATTAAATTGTAATCATATTTTTTTCTCTAAGCAATATATAGTTTCTTAAGGAGCAAGAGACTTCATTTAGAGTAAATTAATCAAATCTTTCAGCTAATGAACAACTATAATCTCTATGTTCTTTCTCTTTTTTAACTTGTGCATAGTCTTTGGTTTTACTGTAGCATCGGGTAGAGCTATCATGCTCCACCTCTAATCATCTTCTTTTCTACTAATCACTTGCACATTCCTGTTAATAAATCTTGAGTTATTCAGCTTAAGCATCTCCTCACATTTTGAGTTCATACATCATCAGAAGCATACAAATGGAAAAACTTATTGATACAATATTCAAACGTGGAGATGAGTTGACTTTCAGGTTTTAAACTCTTAATCTCCTCCCATAGTTTGGGTTCTTAGGTTTATCAGGGTAAAAAAAAAAGATGAATAGTATGTTTCGTAGTTGATCTTGGGAAGAAACAACCTCTTCCATAGTCGTCAGCACAAGATTAGCATTAGTAGAAATTTTGTTAACACTAGCTCCATCACATTGGCATAGCTTGTAATATGGGGAGAGGAGGAAAATAAAGGGATATTTTTTGTAAGTATTTGTGGTTAATAGGTTTATAAGTAATGCTTTCTACTACAATTATTGGTATTCAAAAGATTTTTGATAGATAATTGAGTAAAGTTATTTAGACTAAACTCAGATACAATTCTTAAAGGGCTCAACTCGAGCTCGGTTAGTTTTTTTAAATTTTTTTTTAAGTTTTACTTTAACTCACAAAGTTCGATTCGTTTATATATAAAATAGTTGGGCTACTCAACTTCGGTTCAAGTTTGACTCGTTTTTAGTTTGGTTCGGGTTCAACTTATTTTTTAAATGAGATCGATCTTAAATAATTTTTTAAATTCGTTTAAAAAAACGACTTTGACAGATTCGCTTGAGTTCGCAAAGCTCAACTTGATTATCAATTCTAAGTTTCCTATACGTGGAAAACTCAATTGAACTTAGGATGAACACCTATAAATGTTGATTTATGTATCAAGATTTACCTGAGCAGACTTGTGGAATTGATGAAGTGTACAAAACCTTGGCATATGGACATGCTGAATTGAGATTTCCCGTTATAAAAGATGACAATAGGACCACTTAGAGTTCAGGTGCATTAGGTAATTTGGGTTCTTGTAACAAGATTCAAAATTAAAACTCGATTTAGTAACATCTAAAACTTCCCCTACAACATATTTGAGATTAAATTTATTGTTCTCTTTAAATTTCATGATTATAAAATAAAATCAAGATACAAAACCTTTCATATACTTGAAAATAATCACTTGATCGTCATACACATTAGGTCTTTTGGGTTCTCTTTGCGAAACTCAAATTTAAAAGCTTAATGTTATAGGTTATAATCTCTAAAATCTTCTCATTTATATTATTATTATTTTTTTTTATCACACAAGGTGTTTAGATTTGCATCGACTACTATCTTGAGCTTGGATATTGGTTACTGTAACTTGAATGGGTTTAAAACACATTTCATAAAGAACAAAAGTGACTGACCCTTAATAAATATTAAAAGTGCTAAACATGAGATTTTAATGTTACCAAAAAATCTGATTCTTTCAATTATGCCCTTCTTCAAATCTATGATGTGGCTTCGGGGCAACAAATTAGTATGAAAAAATCCGTTATGGTATGTAGTAAGAATGTTTTAGAGATTAGAGTTAAAGAAATACAGGCTATTTTTGGTGTCCCTTGGGTTCAACAACATGAGAAGTACCTTAGGTTGCCATCTATAGTGGGTAAATCGAAGACAGAAGTTTTTGCTAGTATCAGGGAAAAAGTTTAAAGAAAGTACAAGGATAGAAGGAACAATTATTATCAAGGGATGGTAAAAAAGTGTTAATATAAAAGTAGTCGTTCAATCGATTCCTACATATGCTATGAGTTGCTTCAAGCTTCTAGATTATTTTTGTAGAGTGCTGGAGTCTTTGGCTTCTAATTTTTGGTGGGGCCAAAAGGAAGGGTAGAGGAAAATTCATTGGGTTAAATGGGTTGACATGTGTAAAGGGAAATAGATTGGTGGGATAAGTTTTAGAGACTTAAGGACTTTTAATATGACAATGCTAGCAAAACAGGCATGGAGAATTCACCATGAGACGTATACTCTTCTGCATAAGGTTCTAAAAGCGAGGTAATTTCCATCGACTATATTTATGAATGCCAAGATTGGATACATACCTTTATATACATGTAGGAGTATTTTAGAATAAAGGACGATCATTGAAGCTGAGCCGCGTTGGAGAATTGGTGATGGGTCTAAAATTCATAAACGGGTAGATAGATGGATTCCTACCCCATCTACTTTTCGAGTGGTCAGCCCAAAAAATTTTTTGGATGATGATGCTATGGTTAGTGAACTTATTGATCCAGCTACATATTGTTGAAAAATCGTTTTGATTGATGATGTCTTCTTGGAGCATGAAGCAAAGGTTATTAAAAGGATCCTTTTGGGTGTGTTGCCTAAGGAAGATAGGTTAATTTGGCATTATAATGCTAATGGTAGATTTTCAGTCCAGAGTGTGTACTATTTAGCATATGAGAAGAATTTATTCCATTTGGGTTGTACAAGTGCTGGTTCGTCATCAAATTTAGGGGGTAATTGGGGTGTTTTGTGGAATCAAAATGTTCCTAGTAAAGTAAAAAATTTTGCGTGGAGGATAATCTTAAATGCTCTTTCTACTAATGAAAATTTGTGGTATAGAAAAATTAGATTGAATGGCGTATGTTGTGTACGTGGGGAGGTTGTTGAAACTATGATATATATCATTAAAGAATGTTTGTGGGTGAGACGTGTGGAATGTGAGTCCTCTTTGTCATTTAATACATCGAGTTGCTAGAAACATTGTCAAATGATTTTGGGAAACCATTTTACAGCTTAAGCCGAAACTTGGTGCAACTTTTTTGGTGTTGTGTTGGTATATTTGGTGTAACAGGAATGAGGTTCTATTCCAACGAAGGCGAAATGATCCAGTGGTGTTTTGTCATATGCAATGAAGTTTATTTTGCAGTATGAGCAAGTTTTGGATTTTGGTTAGGGTGCTGGCCAAGAAAGTGCACCAGAACGGTGAGTTCCTCTAAGATCTGGGTCCTTTAATATTAACTTTGATGGGACAGTCTTTGACATAGAGAGTGCTATTGGGGTAGGGGTTGTTATTCTAGATGAAATTGAGTCGTTCAACACTAGGATATCTAAGAAGCTAATTGGCTTAAGAGAAACGCAAACCACAAAAACTATGGCTGCAAGGAAAGTTGTGCTTTTTGTGAGGCAAATTGAGTTTTATGAGATTGTGTTGGAAGGGGATTCTTTTGTAATCATGAAGGTGATTGACGATAATTCTGAAGATTTTTTTTCATATTGATGCTATTATTGCAAATGTGTAGCGATTTCTTCGCTTGTGTATTTTTTATTCTTTATCCACGATTAGACGTTCAAAAAATTCTGTGACTCACTAACTGGTTTGAAAGACCAAATTAGGTGAAAATATTGATGTTTAGGAAGAGATGACACCAAATTTTTTAATATCATCTCTTCTTTATTTAACTTCTTAATAAAATTTCTATCGCTTCAATTTAAAAAAAAAATGAAAAACAACTGATTGGTCGCTCTCTCCCTCCTTTATCTGTGTACTTATAATAAAATGATTACATTTGGTACACTAAGAAATTTAGAAACTTTTACTTTATACTTTTAAATATTAAAATTTTTATTTTTTACTATTAATATATTAAAAAATATTATAATATGACATTTTTATTAATTTTTGTTGTGCATTTTATCAATATTAATTGGTGAATTTTGATGAAATAAACAACGAAAATTAACAGAAGAATTATATTACAATACTTTTTAATATATTGAAAATTTAATATTTTTAAATATATATATATATATACATTTTGTTTTTTAATTTTCGGGTATAAATTGAGATTTCACTAATAAAAAATCTGCCCGTCGGTGATCTAACTCGAAGAACAAATAAACAGGGCTTAGAAAATCCGCCAATCCAATACGTACCTACCGCAAAGAGGTAATTACTTCCTTTTTGGGAAACACGAATCTGTTTCTCTCTCTCTCCCCTCCGATCGACTGTCCCTCGAAATCTGGCGGAGAGCTCAAATTGAACTACCTATAAGCATATTGAATCCTCCCCTCCTCTCTCTCTCTCTCTCTCTCTCTCTCTCTCTGTGCTTTGTGTAATAGAAATGAAGGATGACGATGTCCTTCCCCTGTCGACACCAACATCGCATACCGCATCAACAATTTCGAAGAAGGAAAACTCAGAGTCGAACCTATTCGGCAGAGGCCGATACAAATTCTGGGCATTGGCTGCAATTTTGCTTCTCGCTTTCTGGTCAATGCTCACCGGCACCGTCACTCTCCATTGGTCCGCTGGCAATCTCAACCGCATCTCCGACGACATTGGCCCTCCCATCCACGATGACCTCGACGTCCTCGTAAGACTCTGTCTCGTCTCTCTCGTCTGTGTATTTGTATGTAAATGCATAAATATATTTGATTTTCACGTTATGATTATTTGTAAATGAATAGGAAATGGAGGATAGAGAGAAGGTGGTGAAGCACATGTGGGATGTTTATACGAACAGTCATCGTATCAGATTGCCTCGATTCTGGCAAGAGGCGTTTGAGGCTGCCTACGAGGACTTGTCTAGCGAGCTCCCTCAAGTTCGGGAAGCTGCCATATCCGAGATCGCCAAGATGTCCATGAGGTCCATTAATATCGAACCTCCTCCTCTTCAATCCACGGTTGGTTCTTTAATCGTCACTTCTTTTGGATATGAAATTCTTCATTTAAGTAATTGTTTGGTTTTGTTGTGTTCGGATCGGATCACTCTGCCAATTTGGTTTTTTGGGAACTTATGTTCTTGGATTATTGCTTAATGTAGGAGGTGGGCTCAATTTAGGCTTAAAATTGAAACTTTTTGAGAAGGAAAATTCCTTTAAATTATCTAGAAAACACAGCAACTTAGCATATCGTTGCATTTTTACTATCACGAAAGAGGGTCTAAAAATTAAAGCCATGTGAAAACTTGATTGCACGTAAGGCAACAATTGGTGTTGAAAGAACCAAGCAAAAAACTTGAATCATGTGTTTATGCAAAACACTTATCAGAAAATTTGCATTTCTCACACAGAATGTTGAAGCCAAAGAGAAGTTTGATGTATATTATGGAACATAAGGGGAAATAGGGCTTTGGAATACAGAGAGCCGCTTGATACAGAATACAAATATTAAGAAGTAGAAGAGGGTACAGGGTTCGAAAATTTGAAAAAAGTCTGGTATGCATGGCTTTTGCAAAATACTCATTGAATGGGAGTAGAGTTGTCACCATATTTCACATACTATTGTATTGCTCTTTTATGACATTCTTGCAACAGATGAAGCTTGATACATGTATATGTCAATTATTGCTTCTTTAAAAATTGCTTTTAAGCTCATTCTGTGTTGAAAACATCATAACAATGCTTTAAAGTTACTATTAATGTTGAATAGAACATATACTCTTGTTGTGTTTTGCCTCATTTGCAAATGAATCACTTTTATTCGCTTTATTTTTAGTATATATGTTAGTTGGAGTGTATAAGTTAGTCAACTGTTTTTTTCCTCCAAATTTTGGATTGCCTATCTAATTGTTTTTTGATCTAGTCAAATTTTAAAACAGTGACATTTGCAATGTGGATGTTAAATTTAGGAACTTAATGATATCACATCTTTGCTTTTTGTGCAGATATGTTTTACCAAATGTTAGCAAAGTGTGCTAGATTACTTGGAATAGCTCAAGCTTTTTAAGATCAGGATTCTACCTTGTATTGATGGGGAGGCTAAAGGATTGGGATTGACGGATCTGACCGAGAATTGTAGAATCATATAAACTGGAAAAATTGGACTAAACAAATATGTAATTAATGCAGCAAACTTAGAAACAGAAATAAAACAACCATAGTATATATGTGAAATGTAGAAATGTTAAGACAAAACATGTAGAACTTAGAAATATTCGCATTACCAATAGACCCAAAAACTTGGATTGCTTAGATCACGATTAGGATTGGCATCCGACAATCCTACTTGATCTGGATTTCAATCTATTAATATCTTATTCACTAATGATTTGTTAAATGACTCAAGTTGTTTTTTTTGTTACCGATAATAAATCTGGATCCAGATCTTGATGATCATGGAGTAGCAGCAATTTGGCAATTGTACCAAAACACTAGCTGGGAATGCTAAAGTTGGCCTCTATCTTATGTGTTTCACCATTAACCATTGCTTATGCAGCTTTCTTATATGACCATTGCTCTTTCTCTCTCTCTCTCTTGTTATCTCCACCTTGAAATGTTTTTTACTTTATGAGGAGCAAGCAATTTTATTGAATATTATAATTTCCTATTGAAAAAAAATCTGATAATAAAGCAGTACATAATGAAGAAAGAAAAGATGAGCAAGTCTTCCAACCTTAAATCAGCTACTGTGAGTATGCTTGATCTAATCTAGAAGTCCCAAGAAGCTCTTCAGTCTTCACCTTAAAATGCTTCGGTTGGCAGTATAGATTTATGGTGGTAATCTTTGCTTTCTTTGTTACCGGGACTTCTGTACAATTTTTTTCCCTCTAAACAATATTTAACCTTCTTTATAGATATTTTTCATGGTATGATTATATTCTTCATTCTCTGTTTCCCCAACCTTTTCACTTTTATTTTTGTATTCCTTCAGAAATTTTTACTTGAATCTCCAAGGCATTTTTTTAAGGGAATGCTAATAGAATATTTCCCTTTAGCTATTAAGTAAACAGTGTTGCTTCCATTTTCTGTTATTTACAGTCTCCGAGGTGTGACAACCAAGAGTTCCAATCATATGTTCACTTTTTTTATTTTATTCAAAAAGCTATGGTGTTTAAGAAACAACAAGAGAAAAAGTTTTGTTTTGGTTTTTGATAGCAGAATCAAATGGAGATTTACTATGGATGAAAAATCAGCTCTCTCTTGACTGCTGGGTATCTTGTCATAGAGGAAACTATGTAACAACTAAGGATAAAGGGTGATACGGCCTCGTATTTTTAGTTCCTTGCCCTTTGACTGCTATTTGCTATTCCACCGGCCAAAAAAAATCTGTAGTTGTTATTTTGGTGGTGGCAACTTCCTATATTATTTACAGGACACCATAGGGTGTACCAGGAAAAAAACAGCGAAGGGGGATTAGAACGCTATCTTTTTTCATTTTCTCTCTGTGGTTTTGTATTTTGGAGACTACTACTCATTTTTATTTTCTTAATAATGTGTTTGAAGCTAAACATATCAAGAATCCTCACTAATCATTGTGGTTTATGTTTTGTTTTTATCTGTTGCTATAGGGTGTACGAGAATTAATTCAGAAGCAAGCAGAGAGTACAATAAAGAAGTGACCTCAGGAATTAGTAGGCTATGACTGGAAGAACAATGAGGATTCAAGCCTGCAAGTTGTCATTCTTCTATACATTCATTCATATAAAATGCTAGTTGCTGCTCAAGGTTAGCAAAGGCAGATTATACTTGGTTAGATCCTCATTCTTGCAATTTTGCAGTCACAACATGGCAACGTGGATGATTTCATTTAATTCATGCGTATTTTGTACCCTTACCCTTCGTGAGACGGCTGATGAATAACTTATGCTATTTAAACCTTATAATGCTCTTTGGAAGCCATTGATGATAATGTGAGATTGCGTTTTGAGGTAAGCTGTTGAATCTGGGATTGATAATTTCCCTTTGTTTCCCTACTGTATTGTTCTCTGTTATTCTCCATTTGGTACGATGGAAAAATGGGAGGATGAAAAGTTGGACGGATAAATAAAACATCATATTTGGTAAGTAAGGAAAGTAGAAAGGATGGAAAAGTGGATGGATTAATTTTTCCTTCCAACTTACCAAAATCAATCCCTTCAAAATCGGAAGAAAAGTGGATGAAAAGTTAATTATTTGTGTTGAAATGTATTTTATTTGTCTATATATCTTTTTATATATGCATGTATTATGTATACATTAATTTCATATAAAAATACAATAGTAAAATATTTATAGATATATTTTAAAAATAAATTTTAAAAAAAAATATTTAAATTAAAAAAAAAAAATTTCATCTTAACTAAAGATGAAAATTTTTGACTCAACATGATGACACGACTTAAACTCAATACGTAAATAAACAAGTCAACTCGTAATTCGACAAGACACAATTAGTTAAATGAGTTAAATTAGATTTGATTAATATTCGACACAAACCCATAATAACTCAACACGAATCTGATACGACACGATTCTATTATCATCCCTAATCTTAGTCGGCAAAAAAAAAAAAAAATAGTCATTTTTATTTTTCATCCATCCAACTAAACACAAAAGAAGGAAAGTGTATCATTCCTATTTTTCATCTTTAAAGGATAGAAAATGTATCCTTCTTATTTTACATCCTCCCTACCAAATGGAGCATTAAGGTTATGAGGAGGCATTGGGATATCTGACGGTGACTATGTATGTGAGAATCGTTTGCTTTCGACATATTAAGAACAACTCCAAAGGAAGTTGCCAAAATGGGGTGCCAAATCAAGTATTTGTAATCTTGAATAGTATTTTGGCACCCCTAAATTCTCCAATGACAGGAGCCAAAATGGGGTGTTATTTTAATATTTTTTATTAAAAAATATAATTAAATTTAATAGTTATATTTTAACGGGTATAGTTTTCATAACGATCACAATTTAACGGATATATTTTTATAATAAAAATTTCAAATTTCAAATTATAAATTCAAAGTACTTTCATAGTAATCAAACTTAATATATAGTTTTTCATAAATAATAGCAACATAATAAATAATGACTAAAACTTAAAAAATAATAGCAACATAATAAATAACGACTAAAAATTAAAACTCTACTTTTTCATAATCTCTATCTTCAGGTTATTCCAATATGTTGCAGAAATTGGATCCGTTCCGGTAGTGTTAGTCCAACAGTTTTTAATAGAAGCTTACGAACGCTCTTCTTGATTGTCTCGATGAAGTTCTAAATATTTCAATATTCTATGCCAAAAAGTACTACTTTGTTGTTCATTCTCAGTAATTACATATTTACTTGTGTTAAGCCACGTAGACATAATTAATTTATCTTTTATTAGCGAGAAATTCTTTGTCCTTTGCGATTTTTTTACTCTTCGAGTGGCTTTATTTTGTACTAGTGCCAATACTGTGGGATTAGTCTGTATAACATCATCATATAAATCGGTGTTGTTCATAAGCAAATTAGTAAAAACACTGTCAAATTGCGAATCCATCTACAAAAAAAAATTATAATCAATTTAAAGGTAATATAAAATAATTAATTAAAAAATAAATAAAATCACCCTTAATAAAATAAATAAATAAAATCACCCTTAACAAAAAATAAATAAAATCACCCTTCCCCTAAATAAATGTCTCTTTCCTCTAAATAAACAATCTCCTTCCTTTTGCCTTTTCCCTAAACCCTAAACAAAATCTAGCATATACCTAGTGAGATGGTAAAAGTGGGGTTTGGGGTCAAATAGTGTAGACTGCTTGAAGCTCGCTTGAGATGACAGAAGAGTGGTTTTTGATATCAAGGATTTTCTATATTAGGGAAGAGACTTTTAGGCAAGTAGACACCAACAAGGCAAGTAGACACCAACGACATTCAGACAAGCCTTCTTCCCCTTTTCCTCCCCCCCTCTCTCTCTCTCTCTCTCTCTCTCTGTATTTTTATAGAATTGTTGGAATGAATATAGCCGTTAAGAGGAACGGCTCTTTTACAACCTCTCACATTCTCTCTCAAAAGTTTGTAAATTTGTTACTTTAAGTCCATTGTTGTCATTTTATCACTCTTGATGCCACCCCTTTGAAATGAAATTTTTTGATTTTGAATTGGCATTTTAACGGTTAACGCTTTGCCATCCCATATGACACTCTGCCTTGGAGTTGCTCTTAACACCCAAATTCTGCCGCTGCACTCAATTATCAACTCTGCTTTATCTCCTAAGCAAAAAACCATCACCATCACCATCATGGCGTTTTTGCTTTCTCAAGACCTAACCAGGAAGGCAGATCTTTTGGCTGAAGTTGCTCCATATTACTGTAGGCATGCTCTTTTATCAGAGGAGGTGCCCTGTTATTTATGAGATGTGGTGCTTCATATGTTAATTTGCTTATATCAAGCTCGAATCGCTCTGTAACCGAGTTGGATGCAGATTGAGGGTTTTATTTCTGTTTAATGGTTGAACATATCAACGTTGACACTATCCATGTCAACCTAGTTTGACTAGAAATTCATCATGCCAATAAGCAATTACTTAAAGAAACAAAGCATAAAAAAAAGCAAACAAAGCAATTGACGAACACAAGAACACACAAGATTTACGTGGAAAACTCTCCGTTGTAGAGGGAAAAAACCACAGAGCAAATGGGCGGTGAAACTCCATTAATTAAATTTGGTAGTACAACTTTTCTCTCAAGTTTTTGCCCAAAACTTGAGGCATTACAATCAATCATATCTCCAATGTAACAAATCATTCCACTCTGTATCTGCCTCATGGTGCTCAGCAAAACTTCAATTCTTCATCTGTTTTCTTCTCTCTCTCCTCCTCCTTTTTTTTTTCTCTCTCTTTTTTCCTTCTTTTTTTTTTTTCCTCTCCCTTTTTTTTTTTTTTTTTCTTTTCTTTCTTGTTCTTCTTCACTGCCCTATCAACACGCTGCATGCAAGGCTACAGAAATATATACAGAATAACAGAACTTATTGCTGTGTTTTGAATCTTATTGTCTCCCAGCCTTCACCGATTAATCTTCTCCGCCTTGACGAGACTCGGAACTTTCTCGAACTCCTTCGTGGAACAAGGCAATTAGCATATCGGTCCCGCCACTTGGATGATTTCTTTTCAAACTGAACGGACTATGCCTTGAACGAACCCACTTCGGACTTGTTTCTTGCCATTGATTTTCTCTATCGTTTGTTTTTTTTTATTTTTTTCTCTCGGAGTGGAAAAAGCATGGGCTTAAGCGCCCAAATTTTAGAATTCAATAATTAAGTATTGATCAAAAATTAAAACTCATTATAATTTAATTTAAAAAAAAAAACTTCTAAAAAATTAAGTTAAAATAAAATTTTGAATTTAAATTTAAAAGTGTAGTCCACCTCACAAATATACATTACACATATATCTATATTGCTTTAAAAAATACGTATATTGGAAAAACATTTGTTTTCCTCTTTTACCCACTAATATTTATTAATTTTCTAAATTACCATAATTAAATATATTATAAATGTTGTTCACCATAAAAATTCATCTATTTATTGAGCAGGTGTAATGACTTTTCATCTCCTATGTTTTTTCACTCAGTAGTCACCATCAATTACATATTTCAATGAATTCAGATTATTATACTAATTAGTGGAAGAACATGAAAAGAGTAAATTGTTAGTCATGATTTCTTACTTTTTGGTATTCCAGTGACCAAAACGTCTTCTTTACAATTGTTCATTTATGTCCTCCTCACCCATTCAACACGTTACACACACATATTTATATCTATACTAATAATAAAAAATGACTTTATTTTTTTTTTTTCTAATTTTTCCTCAATTAATATTATAAGGTCAATTTTATCCTTGTAAGTCTAGGTCATGGTTTAATGTTATACCTTAACCCTTGTAACTATTAATATTTGTGCTCTATGTATATTCATCAATTAAATTAGCCAAATTTTATCATTAATGAATTAATTGCATATTGATTATACTATATTTATATCTACTAATAAAAGTATGCTAATTGAAAAAAAATATATTTTCCTATTTTGTCATTGGATAGCACAATAAAGTCAATTTTGTCCTCCATCAAATACAAACAATTTAATGGTTAAACCTCATGAATTATAAAGACAATTTAATGTTCAAAATTCTAGAGTTCTGAAAAATATTCATCTGAATTCAGTATTCAGTTACACTTTAAAACTTCAATTTTTCATATTCTTTCCAAACCTTGTGAAACAAGAGTTTGCCATCAATAATTCCCTCCTTTGGAACTGCCTCCTAGACTCCCATATTTACCACCACTAACTAATAAGTCCTTATGTAAAGACTCTCTAATAACATGATTTCAGTTACTGGAATATCAAAAGGTTGTCCAACAAGATTTTTTTAGTCCACCACCACTGATGCCATTCTTGCCAGCATCCGCAACAACTTTTGGCCTTTGGGATTCCATTGCCACCAAACCCATTTCGGTCACCACCTTTAATCCCCCCCCCCCCAAAAAAAAAAAAAACTCATTTCATTCACTACCTTCAATTCTTCCCTCAAAAAATCGTTTCAACCTTACTAGCGTATTCTTGCTATTGTTGTCAAAAAAAGAAAGAAAAATTGTGTTGATGTGGAACCGCAATTTGATTACGCTTTCATCTTTCACAATTTTGGGAATTCGAAAAAAGAAGCTAGAATTGGTCATGACAAATGATATTTGATTGTTTATCTTCATTTTTATAGTCAAGAATGGTCTTATGGGCATGGATCCTGAGGATTAGATCACTTTAGTGTCGCCACATTTCTCACCAAATTATGTGTCTGAGAAAGTATTGTAAGATGCTTCATCTTGTTTTATTTAATCATGATACTTGGATTTCCTAAGACTGTATTTAAATGCATTTCTTTGAGAACCTGAATAGAAAGGAGGACCTGTGTTTATTAGTTTTCTTTTTGCTTAGTATTTTAATTTTTACTGATGGATTTGTGTTTATTCATTGTTTTTTAAGTGTTTGAAATTTGATCATCTTTTTGTACGAAAGCCTAATGAGCTTCTTTGCACTATGTGAAACATACTATTATCAAATTAAATGTCTATAGCTAAAGGAATATACATCAAGCCATTAAGGGAGGGAGGCCAATGACCTTCACCTCTAGCATGTCGAACGGGGCCTTTCAATAGACCCTTTCTAGATGGAGACATGAAGTTGATGGGGGCCTTTGGTTAACGTAGTAAAAAATAAACTGAAATTTTTGAAGTCACCTGTTAAGCTTCCTCTTATTCAAGATTGCAAGACTTGGCTAACGAAAACAAGTATCTTAAAGTGGTTACTTGATTATTCTAGTGAATCAAGATCAAATTCCTTGTATAGGGAGCCTTTTTCTCCCCTACTCACCATATACTTGAACAAGAAGGGTGAATATGGGAGATGTTTAAGTATTAAAAGAGATTTTCCTATGTTTACTCTTTTTGTACCAACCTTATAATTATGCCATTTGGGGGTGTATCAGAAAAAAATCAAACATCCATTAATTCAAGGCATGCATAGATATTATTCCCATACCTAGATACCTGATAAGCTTTTTGAAAAATCTATCACTGCAAGTTGAATGATTGGACAATGATATATAAATCAACGGCCAAATGTGATAATCAGTGTGCAAGTTTTGTGAAAGAGAAGTCATTTATGTTTGTGGATAGAAGTTTTTATAGTTCATTTGCTTTAGAAACAATGGCTTGCACTCCTATTGGAAAATGATTTATGGTTTGCTGATCATAACCATATTTAATTTGAATATAAAATTTTATTTAGAAGGAATTCAAACAATTTGACCAAAGGGGACCAATGTTATTGTCCATATTAGTCAAATAGAACATTTTACTAAAATTCAAATTATACTCGGAGAAAGATAGTGTGGGTCATTTATTGGTGTAATATTGGAGGGATCTGATATGAAGCATGGATCAAGGAAAACAAAAATCATATAAAATTAAACATCTTATTTTGACTAGTCCTGACCTAACTCGTCTGATTAATTAATCGAACTCAAACTTAAATTCGAGTTCAAGCATTGTCACATAAAATTGATCATATATTGATTACGTGTATTTTTAACAATATTATTGCCACTATTCCCCAAAGGGCCATACTTCCAAAGAAAGAAATATGGAGCATGCAGATCTACTAGCACACACTACTATAGCACCAAAAAATTCATGAGGAGCATTCTTAAGCTGTTATATTTCCGCGTGTGTAATTGATGGATGCTATAATCATCAATCTCCTCTGAATCTGTTTGTTTAGCGGAATTATGGTAGAAAATATAAGAAAGAAATTTTTTTTAAAATTTTTATATATTTGGTTAGCACGAAATGAAAAATGATGATTTTTTTTTTCTGTGTTTAAATTTTTTCACAAATAACCAATTTTTTTTATTTAAAAAACACAAGTAAATGTAAAAAATTTGTGATATATAGCTAACTTCCTATTTTATCTTTATTATTTTAAAAATATTTTATTGGTTATTAATTTTAAAAAACCTTGGTATGAATTTAGTTAACCATACAATTTGGTTCAAAGATCTTTACGCTGAAGGTTGTCCGAATTAGGTTAGGAGTAGCTTTTTTAAAAAAATTTAAATTTAAATTATAATACATATTTTTTTCTTCTTTAAACTAATTTAATATAATTAAAAGTAATTTACACAGCTAAAAAAATTTTCTTGTAACATTCATTTCTTTCAAACAATAAAATAATTTTTTAAAAAAAAAATTTTCTTGTAAATTTTTTATACTAACCAAATACATGCATGAATATATATACATATATTTTATTTTATTTTCTTTCACTTCAATTTCCATAATCCTTTTTTTTTTTAACCAAACATACCCTATGAAATTATTCTTGGGAAGATGTTGATCTTTGTGATTGAAAACTCATGCCCTACAGCAGCCTTAAACCAACAAACCTTCTACACTCTCAAGTCCCAACAATACTTGTCATCAACCAGACATTAAACAGCCAATTCATCAAACCTATATGTTTTTAAATGGAGAAGCAAAACATATATATAAGAAAGAACAAATAAACCATGCAAGAAACAAAAGGAAGACACAAGATTTACGTGAAAAACCCTCCGGTATAGAGGGAAAAAATTACAAGACAAAGCGGCAGCGGAACTCCATTAATTAAATTTAGTAGTACAACTTTTTTCTCAAGTTTTTGCCCAAAAACTTGAGACATTACAATCAATCATATCTTATCTTTTCAATGTAAGAAATTATTACAATAAGTCCAGTACTCACAAACATGTCATCTTACAAATTTTTTTCCTGTAACTTTCCCTTCTTTCTCCTCCTTTTCTTTCTTCGTCTTCTACTCTCTATTTCTTTTTTCTCTCTTTTTTCTTTCTTTCTTTCTTCTTTTTCCTCTCTTTTTTTTTCTCCTCCTCCTCCTCCTTCATTGCTCCGATCGACATGCGGCACGCAATGCCATAAAAACATATATAGCTTGTTGCTGTGTTTTGAATCTTGATCATCGAACTGGAATTCTTCACCGCTTAATCTTCTCCGCCTTGACGAGACTGAGAACCGTCTCGAGCTCTTTTGTGGAACAAGGCAACGTTATCGGTTCCGCCGCCGCTTGTATGATTTCTTCTTCAAATTGAACGAACGATGCCTTCAATCTTATTGAAGACATCCATGTCACTGGAATCTCATGCCTCTCTTGAGGTTAACGTATCCATCGTTGCTCTTCTTGCTCATCTTCCTCACGAACCAGTGAGGTTTTCCTCCAGCCATCTTAAAAGACAAGATCTCTCTGATGCTTCTATTATGGAAAAGGGATTAAACGAGATTTAGGGTTTGGAAATTCTTGAGAGGGGTTGGAAAGTAGTGAAAATCTGAGAAAGCTGAAGGGTTTGGAAATTCTTGAGAGGGAATGCAAAGTTGTGATGATCTGAGGAGAGGATCAGGGGCCTATATCTGTATTTTATAGAGGACTGATGTCTGATGATACCCAAGAAGTCTCATAATTAAATGAGTGTATTTGTGGATAGGACTAAAGGCGGTTTGTTCCCTCACATGTTTTAAAATCTCAGTTAGCCCCTTAGCTTGAATTAATGCCACATTGTACCTTCAACTTTTCAACCCTGAGAATGCAATCTGTGGCAATTTAGGGCTCAGGGGAAAATTATGAGTTTTAGAATTATTGGGATGGCAAAGTGTGATATTCAATTTGCAGTGGATTAGACTTTTCGTTCAATTAGGTTTCTCACCGACTTGGTTCTCTACCAAAAGGGTACTTTCCAAACGTAAGATCACCGTAGACTGATGCTCTGTTTAGTAGATGAAAAAAATAATAAGATAGAAAGTTTGACCGATCGGTAAAATATCATGTTTGGTAAGAAAAAAATAAGAAATATGAAAAAGTGGATGAATAAACTTTTTTTTCAACTCATCAAAATCGATTCCTCCAAAATTGGAAGTAAAGTGTATGACAAATTATATTTATATTAAAATGTATCTTATTTGTCTATATATCCTTTAATATATGCATATATTATGTATACATTAATATCATATATGAATTCACTGATAAAATATATATTTATATTTTTTTAAAAAAAATTAAAAATAAAAATTTTAGAAAATAAAAAAGTATTTTTTTTTCTATCTTATCAAACAAAAAAAAATTAATCTTTTGTATTTTCGATTTATCATACGAAACACAAAGAAAAAAATATGTATCATTCATATTTTTTTTCTTTAAAAAATAAAAAATATATTCTTTCTAGTCTCCATCAATCTTTACAAAAACAGTTGAAGGTACTTATATTGAAACAGTATGCTGTTGGTTTGGTTAATTGGAATCTTAGTGGTTTATATTTATATAATAAATCAGATATGTGTTTAGATAGGTGTTTAAACTTATGATGATATATTTTTTCCCTCAAATTTCACACACCCAACACATAATTTTCATCCTAAATTTCAAAAACTTAACACACACACTTTACAACATACAACTACACGTATACATACACTCTAACACACATTCTAATGCATTATAGTGTAATAATTTAATGTACAATGACCTTAATCACGAGATATCGCCATCACGAGATATCGCCGGTGATTCCGTAGGACAACTAGTCAACAATAGTATGGATCGTGTAGTTTTGTGTGTGTTGCCTTATGAACCACTTTTTCCATTCTCCATATATTTTATAGTGATGTATCCCTCGAGTCTCATGTTGTACTAATGTCTATCATTCTAAAAAAAAAAAATAATGATTTTCGAACCTGGTGTTTTGTATTGTTGTGACGACATACTGTTACTCTATTGCTTTACTCAAAAATGGAAAAAAAAAAAAAGGAAAACAAATCGAAAATAAAAAACTTAATGCTTTCCATTTGCCCGTATTTACATTACCTTTTCATATTGTCACACCTATTTTTCATACAACAAATGCTTATCAAATGGTTTTCTTTCAAGTATAATACTCTCTTTTGAGGTCTGAAGGAGGCATAAAAAACTCAGAAGACAAACCCCATACATTAAAATCCACCTCTTCAATCTTCCAAGTTTCTTCCAGCTCCCTCTTGTGATTTGTAGATTGCTCCCCATATCTATACACTGTCACAAAAGTTTTGCCACTATGAGCAATATTAACACCATCAACGTACTTATACTCATCGATCACCGATTCTGTGCTCGTCTCCCAGAAGACCCCTTCACCACCATCATCATCCCCATGTATACTTTTTACAGTTAGTAGCCTCGAGTCCTCGAACTTAACCAGGAGGCCAGACCTTTGGCTGAAATATCCCCATATAGTGTGGTGGATGATTTCATATCTTGAGCCACTTTGTACCTCCAGAGCTGATTGGCTTGTGTCAAGCTTTAGTATGAAACAGTCCTCATCTTTTATGATCTTCTCTCCTATGCATACTGCGTCTATGAACAAGTTGGCTGTTGATCGAGGGTCCAAACCCTGCCACAATGCCAGTAATTCACACCCTCTTTCTTAAAAATTTTAACAATAACAACACGAAGAGAAATTGCACAATCACTTGTACATTAGTATTTTTTTTTTTTTTGATAGCTTATTCTACCTATTCTGTTTACTTTCCAAATTAAAAATACCTGTAAAAATCGTCGTAGGGGTCTGGGAGGACCCTCTGCGATGGGTATTTGTAGATTGGAGGATTGCCTCCATGAAATCTTGCCATTGCTTCCTGAGATCACCTTGCACCCGGATATAAGAAGCTCCAAGCACCACAAGTCCGGGTTTTTTTGCCACAGCACAAAGCCACCGGCCTCCTCAGTACTCCTCACCTTCACGCTCTCATCGCCCTGGTGAAAATCCGAAGCACTAATTTTGACTTGCCCAATTGCACACATGCTGTGTACCGAGTTTAATGCTGCCTGTCCTCCTGTGGCCGCTATGTATTGTTGTACAATATATTTAGCCGTTGAAGCTTCCTGTATATAGTATAAAAAAGGTCGCATGGTACAAAGTGAAGTTAATTCTCGGGGAACTACTAAAAACCAAGTAGTTATTTGACAAGTTTTTTAAGAGGAGTTTTGGAAAAGAGAAGATTGACGGAGGAATTCATTGATATTATGTGGATCACTTCGTGAAAATATATCAAATTATCGGACTTCCCAAATTACTGGACTATTTCACTCCCAAGAATTTTTTTCTGCAACTAGTTTTGGGCGGGGTTGGAATTCTCCCCTGTAAAGATCTTGATAAGGGGTTTTTTTTCGTTACCAATTAATGACCGTCGAATCGGAAAAATTGGGTGCAGTCCAGCCCCCATAGTCGTTGTTGATTTTTTATCAGTTTCATGCTAACTTTATATATTGAGGTGGAGTTGTCTTCTGGGGGTCTTAAATCTCTAGCTGCAAATGCCAATGTGTGTCCATGTGGGTTGTTCATTGGGATTAATCATACTGTTTCAAAATTATATTTCTCTTTCAGAATTACTAAACATATGTAAGCAATATATAATGGGTAAATTACAATTTATCTCTTGAACTATTACATTTGTTTCACTTTGTACCTTCAACTATAAATTTTTTTACATTGCAACTTAAAGTATCACTTTTATTTTATATCACTCCAATAGATACCGACTGCTAATTTTTTGAAGGTAAATACACATGTGAGTGATCTGCACTGTTAATATTACACATGTGTAGGTTAAAAATCAAGATAAAGACCCATCCATGCTTTTGCCATTCTTAAGCTCTAAATTTTCTTCCTTAGGCCAGCTTTTTCTTCCCAATAATTATTTGGTTAAAAAAGAAGATAAAATAAAGTGGTACTATGAACTTGGCAGGAAGTTATCTAGGGGTTTCCCTCATTCATTTAACAGATTTTCTAGTTATCTATTATCTATTGGAGTAATATGAAATAAAATTGATACTTTAGCATACAATGTAAAAAAATTTATAATTGAGAGTATAAAATGAAACAAATATAATAGTTCAAGGGGATAAAATGTAATTTACTCATATATAATTGAAGAAAATTAAAGTTGCTGAAGAGAGTTTCTTACAATGGAAGAGTGTTTTATAGGGCGGTGGATGGAATGGTCCAACTGCACCTGAAGAGGAATGAGAGGAGATCCAACAATGTGTAGGAGGAAACTTAGCTCATTATAACGCCCTGCAATAATTGGTGATGACCATTTTTCTGGGGTTTGAGCCTTCATCCAAGTTGCCATGTTTTGCCAACGGAGGGCGACATTGCTGCCCATGCTCGTGAACATTTCCTCGGGGATTGGCACCTCGAGAACAGTCTCGAGGCCATCTTCTTGGTCGAAATTTGGACAGAGTTTTCTCATGTTAATTGTTTGTGTATGTGTGTATGAGAGAGATGAGAAGAGAAAGAAAAAAAAAAAAAAGTCTAGAGAGAAAAAAGGAACCCCATTGAGACAATTAATTACCTCCTTAAGGAAGGTGTTAGGATGTGTGGTTTTTTTGTGGAGGGACCGAAAATGAGAGGGTATGGGGAGGCACTATGTCTAAAGGCTCCCCTTTGTTGTAGCAGTCGTGTGGGCACGATTTTAGCTTGCATTCTTCGAGGCCGGTCCAAACATAAGGCTACTAAAGTATAGATTTTAGGTCTCAATTAAAAAAAGGTTTGAAATGAATACGTTTATAACATAGTTTATAAAAAATTTAAATTTATCAAAATTGAGTTTAACAAAAAACCCAATTAAAATTTCAACTGACAAAAATTTTTTTAATTAAATGTTTGGGTAAAAAATTCTAGCTTAATGACACACAAAAATTTGACAAAAAAAATAATAAGATTGAAAAGGTGTAAAAAATTAGGGGTGCCAACTTTGACCCATTGATATGAACCCGACACGAACGATTATAAAATTAATACGCATAATAAGTAGTTTAAACTAATGTTTAATACTCGAAATATACTAAATAGATTTTCTTTTTGTGGGTTTTGACATAAACACGACACATATGAGTCACACAAACACGACATGATTGACAGCTCTATAAAAAATAGGGATCATCCATCATTAGTTATTCTCTCTTTGATACGCACACATTCTCCCTTTAACTATACTTTTGTCATTATCTAAAATTAAAATACAAATCAAACTATTAATTTTCATCCCCTTTCAATTTCAATGCAACTTTTTTTTTATCTACAAGGAGTGCATTACTTTTTAAAATAACTAAAAATATAAAAAAATTAATTTACTGATTCTGTCTATATTCTTTCCTAATAGGCGATGTTAGAAGAAAATTCTTATATCATATCTTAATTTCATAGGCCACAACAATAAATAAAGTATTATTGTTTTATAATTTTAAAATTTATTTAATTTTAAGATAGTAATATTTTCTTATTATAGCAGTGTTTGGTTGATTTATAAATATAACAATTAAAAAATAAACAATTGTATAAGAAAAAATTTGAAGAGAAAATTTCAAAAACTATTTGAATTTTAAATAAAATATTCTTAAATATATTTGTCACTAGAAATAAACACAACATAACAAAACATTTTAGGTATAAATTTAGGTAAATTAAGAAAAATAGATCTCATAAAATTAGAAAGATTAGGTGGATTAACCATGTAATCAATTGAAAAGAAACACATATAAAACTTGAGTGCAAAATTTTACTAATAATTATCATCTCAAAAAGAGATTTTTTTTTAAATTAATATTAAAAAAATAAAACATTTATTTAGAGTCACCCTTATGAACGTCAAAGTGTGTTTAAATTACCCTTTGTTTAAATTATAAACCTCAAAGTGTGTTTAAAGATTTTTTTACTAATAAAATTTTTATAGTTGTTTAAATTACCCTTAATTATATTAAATTGGTCTAAAAAAATGTAATTATAATTGAAAGTTAAAATTTTTTAAAAAATGGCTTGAAACTTAATTTTAAGACAATCACTAATACAAAGGTCTTTGGGCTAAATTATATGATTAATTAAATTCATATTAATATTTTTTTAAATTAATAACCAATAAAATATGATAAGAAAAATAAGGGTAAAATATAAAGTTAGTTATATATCACAACATTCTTGCATTTGCTTGTGTTTTTTATAAGAAAAAAATGTTGGTTATTTATGAGAAAATTCAAGTATGAAGAAAATTATTTTTTCTATCATTTTCCTTTTCATGCTAACCAAATATATAAAAATTTAAAAAAATTTTCTTTCTTGTATTTTCTATTATTCTCTTGTTAAACAAACGGACTCTAGGAGTGAATGAAGGTTATCGGTACAGATCTTCTATCTAAAAGTTATAATAATAAAAAAGAAAAAGAAAAAAAGAAAAGAAAAAATTAGGAAAGACGAAAGAAAGGCCACGACTGGGCTGGTAATGCTAACCAAATGTCACAAGTGCTTAGGGCCAAGTTCAAAACATTGCAGCCCAATTGCGCCTTCTGAGGTTCGAAGTTGATTTCACAGTGAGAAATGATATTTGGATTTAAAATATTGACTTGATTAATTATAATTATTAAATAAGTAGTGAATTTTAATTTACACATTTTTAATTCTTAAGATGCTAAATTCGAATAAAAAATTTACTGTATTTCTTATGTACTCATCAAGGAAAAAAATAATAAAAAATTTATATAACTCTAAACCCAAAGAGGAACATTCATGGCCCACAGCACCTCTTCATTTGAAAATAAAGGAATATTAATTCCATGATATTTATAAATAAAGTAATATTAGAAAATTTTAAAAATTAGATTTGATAATATGAAACGTAACGAACCTGTGTGCCATGAGTTGTCCGTTGTTATGCAGTCCAAAAGGTCCCATATTAAACGCCGCTACATGTTAGGATTCGAACAAGTCAACAAACTTATCTACAAAGTTTTAAGCATGTGGCAACCCTTAAAGACAGTGACCTTCAAAGTTTCTACCACGGGAAAAAAAAATTTTGATCTAGATAAGGAAAAAGATAGTAAGGGAATTGAGCAAAAAGATAGGAAGGGATTGAAGAGAAAACCAATTTGATCATGTTTAGCTACTTCTCACATTATATTAAGAGTTCTTATACAAAGTGCTGGCTTCATAGGTAGTGCTTGACAAGAGGGCTGTACATGCAGTACTGAAGCGTTTACTTTCGGTTGTCTGGGTGGAAATTAGTCCTCACTTTTATATATATATATANAGAAAAATAAGGGTAAAATATAAAGTTAGTTATATATCACAACATTCTTGCATTTGCTTGTGTTTTTTATAAGAAAAAAATGTTGGTTATTTATGAGAAAATTCAAGTATGAAGAAAATTATTTTTTCTATCATTTTCCTTTTCATGCTAACCAAATATATAAAAATTTAAAAAAATTTTCTTTCTTGTATTTTCTATTATTCTCTTGTTAAACAAACGGACTCTAGGAGTGAATGAAGGTTATCGGTACAGATCTTCTATCTAAAAGTTATAATAATAAAAAAGAAAAAGAAAAAAAGAAAAGAAAAAATTAGGAAAGACGAAAGAAAGGCCACGACTGGGCTGGTAATGCTAACCAAATGTCACAAGTGCTTAGGGCCAAGTTCAAAACATTGCAGCCCAATTGCGCCTTCTGAGGTTCGAAGTTGATTTCACAGTGAGAAATGATATTTGGATTTAAAATATTGACTTGATTAATTATAATTATTAAATAAGTAGTGAATTTTAATTTACACATTTTTAATTCTTAAGATGCTAAATTCGAATAAAAAATTTACTGTATTTCTTATGTACTCATCAAGGAAAAAAATAATAAAAAATTTATATAACTCTAAACCCAAAGAGGAACATTCATGGCCCACAGCACCTCTTCATTTGAAAATAAAGGAATATTAATTCCATGATATTTATAAATAAAGTAATATTAGAAAATTTTAAAAATTAGATTTGATAATATGAAACGTAACGAACCTGTGTGCCATGAGTTGTCCGTTGTTATGCAGTCCAAAAGGTCCCATATTAAACGCCGCTACATGTTAGGATTCGAACAAGTCAACAAACTTATCTACAAAGTTTTAAGCATGTGGCAACCCTTAAAGACAGTGACCTTCAAAGTTTCTACCACGGGAAAAAAAAATTTTGATCTAGATAAGGAAAAAGATAGTAAGGGAATTGAGCAAAAAGATAGGAAGGGATTGAAGAGAAAACCAATTTGATCATGTTTAGCTACTTCTCACATTATATTAAGAGTTCTTATACAAAGTGCTGGCTTCATAGGTAGTGCTTGACAAGAGGGCTGTACATGCAGTACTGAAGCGTTTACTTTCGGTTGTCTGGGTGGAAATTAGTCCTCACTTTTATATATATATATATATAAAACTTTTCCAGAGAAAAGGGAGGAGAGAGAGAGAGAGAGAGAGAGAGAGAGAATGGGTTCAAAATCAATGGAGGAAGGAACTGGAAAAGGCCAAACAGGGATCAGCAAGTATGCTTGTGCTTGTTCTATAGTTGCTTCTATGATCTCCATCATATTTGGCTATGGTGAGTTCTCCTTCCTTCCTTCTTTCTCTATCCTCCATCCCCCCCTACTCCTGCTGTTTCCGCCTTTAAGGTCGCGCAGAACATATTTTAGGACTACTATATTAGCATCTCGCGGCTCATAATCAAAGTGTTCTTGTGCGATCTCATGCGTGGCCATCGCTAAGTCGACTGGACTGGTTGCGGTTTTTTTGGCATATACTTCAATATAAACTATGCAATTATTGATATTAAAAAATAGATCCCGTGTTAACATAAAATATATAAGTATACTATAACTTTTGCAGAGTATAAGTGATAGAAGATTTACCTTCATATTACTAACTAAACATTACATGTTTGAGTCATAGAATTAGGTTTTCTGCATGTACCTATATATAAATCACCGTTTGTAAATTCTGTAATGAAAAGATACTTTTCTTTGCAGATACTGGCGTCATGAGTGGAGCAATGATATTCATAAAAGATGATCTCAAAATCGATGATACCCATGTACAAGTCCTCGCCGGAATCCTAAATCTATGTGCCTTAGTGGGTTCCCTTTGCGCCGGAAGAATTTCTGACTACATCGGCCGGCGATACACAATCGTCATAGCCTCCATCATCTTTTTGGTTGGTTCAGTTCTAATGGGTTATGGCCCAACTTACGCAGTTCTCTTGGCCGGAAGGTGCACCGCCGGCATCGGCGTAGGCTTTGCACTCATGATTGCACCGGTTTACTCTGCCGAGATTTCATCTCCTTCAACACGAGGCTTTCTCACCTCTCTACCGGAGCTCTGCATTAGTCTCGGCATATTACTTGGCTACATTTCTAACTATTTTTTTGCCAAATTGACTCTGAAACTTGGATGGAG